TCGATATTCTTTCAGTCTGGCTGTTGTCCAGTCACTTCGATGCTGCAGCAACAAATATGCGAACATATCAGCTATTTCAAACAAAGGCAAATTATGAAGGTTTTTTTGCCAAGTTTTTACGTTACATGGATCTACCAGAGTTATTGTCGACTCACCGTGTTTTACAGTACGATGACGATTGTTTGACTCTTGGCGAACATTTAACTCGTTTGCTAACTCAACAAGTTCAAAAAGTTTAGCTTTACGAACATTAATATTGCTGCAAGTTATACCACGATCCCGAAGAAATTTGCGGCGTTCTGGAACTTTTTTGCTTTTCCAATCTATTGATTTACGCATGTAAGAATACAGAACTTCAATAAAAACAACCCCACTCAGGCTCGTCATCTGGGTATTTTGGATGCGCCCTCTAGCGGAATTCTGTAGAAAACTAACAACTCGAAAATTAGGAATTGAACTTGAATTAAAACGCATCCCTATATAGGACTGCATTTTAATCAACTTCATATCGCAACCAAATTTAAAGTTAATTCAACTTTATAAGCAATTAAACCAATGTGTGAACAAATAATTACTAACTGTGATACATGTAAATTTGAAGTCAGTTATACCAAAATATCTATGAAATTTTATTTTGTTTTCATAAAACATATTATTGTTTGATGTATATTGTCAAATCTGGTAAAATACATGTACCTGTATATAAAAAATCTAAAAATAAGTTCACGATTATCACATTGTGGGAAGTTAATCTAAAATGGTAAAATACTTGTTCCAGGGCCTAATAGTGTAATTTTACAAATACTTGTTCCAGGGCCTAATAGTGTAATTTTACAAATACATGTTCCAGGGCCTAATAGTGTAATTTTACAGAAAATTTTCTCTAGCAGCACAGCTTTTTGTTTTTCAAAATCAAGAGCTGGTACAACTCTAGTCAAAATATCAGTCATGGGCTGTTTCCCGGCTGATTTTCGCTGAAATTGGATTGTAAAATTAGGCTTTTGGACAGCTTTATGCTAAATAGCTGTTTTGGTTAAAATTTTAAAAAGCTATTTAACAGCCTCTTGAAAATTAATCGCTTTAAAAAAGTCACAAAAATAGCTGGGAGGCTATATTATAGCTCTCATGTGGCGCGGAATAGGATGAAATATTTAAATTAGGCAGCCTTATGTTTATACAATGTACCTTATGCTAGGTGTTTCCGAAAAATAAAAAAACAGCAATAAAACTGCTTGGATACCATGTTCAAAGTTGAAGCCTACTCATAATTTTTGAGAAATTTGTCATAAATTGCATGACAATGATCATTGGTTTATTGTGTATAATCACAGAGCTTTTGTCACAAGGCAAAATAAAATAGCAATCTTTTATGTGTTGCAGTGACGCTTTTTGAAAAACTTGTTCTTATATATTTTCCAAAGTCATTATTTTTAGATCAATTCCATAGACCACGATGTTAAAGAAAAATTGCATTTGTTGATGCTTTTTAAAAGCTAGATTTTTTAAATAATTTAGGACAATAAAACATTCCCCATCATTTACAAGATATATTTTTTCAGCCTCTGTCACCAGGCTACAATTTAAGATATGGTAAAATGGCCACTATCCGCTGAAATACAACTATGATTATCTTCTCAAAAATTAGGCTGTGACCCCCACCTTTGTTAAAGTTAATATACTTATATTGCTCTGGAGGACAAATTATTGCAAAAGGAATAAATAATGGATATTTGAATTTATGAGTAGGCTTTCACATTAATGAAGTTATTTTAAAACATAATTTCATTGTAAGATTCATTGAAGTTTATTTTATACATGTATGAGAATTTGAAAGATATCAGTGATGGACAATTCACAGATGCAAGAAGCAGTGTCATAAAGAACTCTGAGAATAATTATTATTTTCACTTGTATTTGATACAGTGTGAAACAAAATGAATGCTTAGTAGTTATACATGAATATTGAATTTTATGGAAATTCAAAGTAAAATGCATATATTTGTATATGTTGCTAGGCGCCATTTTACAATGAGCATGTCTATATTATGAATCACATTCAAAAATGTTTAATATAAGAGATAAAATGACACAAAACATGAAATACAGCATCCTACTGCTGTAAAAATTGTTTTAATTACTATGCGAACACATCGTGAGTTACAAATATATTATATTTGAATACAAATGCAGAAACTTCCCTTCTCCCCGTCAGCTCACTGTAGCGTACGGAGAAGAAGTGTAAACAAACAACTATTTGCCACCCTAAAACAGCCTTTACTGCCTCAAAAATAATTGTACTAGCCAGAATATATTGGAACCTAAAACACAGCCACAAAGCTTACCCTATGAGTGAATGCCCGCATCTGTCATCGTTGTCCATGTCAACTTTTTACTTTTTCGACTAGTTGAAAACTACAACCTGATTGCTTTGATACTTGGTATATATGTACCATGAATATCCCTGAAATTTAAATATGCTATTGACAGAGCGAATTATGTAAATCAGGAGTCAAATGTAAGTTAATTAATACCAGTTTATGCAAATACAATATCAAATCTATATAGGTGTACAATAGATTTGAAATCACAATACATTTCGAGGAGGTCAGGGTATTTTTAGAATTGTAAAACTGTTTGGTGATTTTCGTAACTCACAGATCTTTACCACGTCCTTAATTGCGATAGTAATAATAAACTAAAACTGAAACATCATGCACAATTATAACTAAGTATTTAAGGCACTGACATTGAGAGAAGTGGAAATTTACATAAACATGTAGCAACATGATATATTAAAATGTCTATTTTACATGTGAATTTGTTAAAATAACATTATACTGTACAATGTAGCTAGAATATAACCTCCCTTGAATAAATTGGCATATATTTTACTTTGTAATTGTCTTCCCCCAAACCCGCTTTTCTTTTCCCGTCGAGGTTATCCGCTACCAAATACCCTTTGAAAATCGGGAGTAGCCAGGCAAAATGGGTCAGAAGTCAAAATGTACTCTTCATCCTTAATGTTATTCAGTTACTAGCTTGTTACATGTATGACCTAATCATCATTTACGTGTAGCCATGTAATATAATATTTGCAGATGTAGTGTATGCGCTTACATGAATGTATGTGTCTGCATACTCCTTTCATCTTTTATATTCTAGTAGAACATGTGAGTCAAATCTGAGGTGTACCTTTAGGGTCGAGATCAGTCATAATCTTTGTATGTTCAGTATAGACAAAAATCAAGTAATTTTTGGTACTTCCGTTCTAATAAAGATGCGTTTTAATTGAGCGAATATATAGTTACAGATATTTGGCCTTCAAATTCTGATAGTGATAATGGACACCAATTTCAACATTTGTGGATTTGCAAATTTGTGCGTGGTTTACGTGCAGTATGTGTTTACCTTACATGTATATGCATTTATGTTGTGTGGTTGTACATGTACATGTTTCAACAATATCGGGTTTTATGATAACAGCTGTGTAAGTCCTATAACAAATAATTGAGATTATTAATCACTACATCGATGGATTATATAATGTACTGAATTGTATTCTATGTTCACAGTTCGCAATGGCTACGATGAGACGGAATAGTGAGAAGAACGGTCATATGTTAGAGGAAAAACAACCAAGGACTGCATCCGATCCTGGGCAAAAGGAATCCCCAAAAATGGTGTATATTGTGTTTGTATCTCTACTGATTGATTTGCTGGGATTTACAGTGATCTTACCGTTATTGCCAGCGCTGTTGGATTACTATGCTAAAAAGAATGACGTGAGTTATGGAAATTCATTGGAATCATTCCTGACTGACTGAAATAGAATTGCACTAGACTAGACACGACACGACAAGACACGACATGTATCATGCACAAACCATCCTGTGATAAAGCCATGTGATATTTTTTGATATTGAACTCTCAATGTCACATGCTTTATCGGCAAATATTATCGATCTTTCCATGCAATTTGAGACTATGACGTGACCGACTGACACTACCCTAGGAAGAAAAAACATGGATTGTTTACTAACTAAAAAATATGTTTTAGCCAAAACTGTTTGAGATCTGTAAATTTGTTTCCACAATATACCAATGATTTGAGACAACTGGCAACGGTCTTGTTTTATGTCAAATTTGTCAACATCGCTATTTCTAATACTACCAACCCCATCTTAGCAACATACAGGATTTGTTTTCCTAATTGTTCCATTTACTGATCTCTCATGCAATGTGTGATACTACTTATAGAATTATCGCTAAAAACTTTATGAAAAAATTATTTTTTAATCATTGGTGACAAATGACACACTATGTTCAAGAAGCGATGTTCGTATGCAAATAAGATCAGCTGCTCTAATAATATTCAGACACACACAAATAATGAAAATGATTTTCACTTTCTATAGAAAAAATATTTGCGAACCAAAAATAGAATATCAAATCAGATTTATTAAACTTGTGTTGTTATTTTCATATTTTCCTCGTCAAAAGCTTTAAACAAATGAAAATTAAAAAAGTCCTACAGCACAATGAAACACATTTTCAATTGGATATTTATATACTTCATTGGATGTCATACACATCATAATTTGATTACTGCATGAGAAGCGTAAATGCTTAACGTTGCATTTTTAGATCGTAAAATCTTTAAACAAGACTACATGGGTTTGTGTGAGTGATATATGCACTTACAGCAATGCACGGATGGCGAGAAATTGGCTCATAACAATCGCCGATTTGAGTGATTTTTGTTAATGGGTGGACCACTCAATAAAAGTAACCCGAGCTAGCATTCTCGTCCTCGGTGATGCAGTTCAAATGGGATTGCTTAGGGGGTCTCAAATTTTGAAACCGAGGCTTGCCCGAGTTGCGGCCATTTTGAATGTTGTTGTGAATTACAGAGATTCTTCTATAGTCAAAATATAACAAATATACATTCAACTTATCCATAAAAATCCATATAAGCCAACCAAAATGTCGTCTCAATGATAATTAATTCTAGCGAAAATAAAAATATTTTACTGGTACAGTACATTACAGGTGTGATTGTATGGTGAAAATAATTTGTATTTTAGTGATTCAGTAAATAGCACATGCAATTTCTTTTTTTATATGCGCTGCTAGTGGACAAATACAATAGTTGGATTAACACAACATCTGTTGAGAGCCTCCAGACATACCAAAATCAATGGGGGGAAAAGAACGTCAGTAAACGTCTGCATTAAACAAAAAAATACTGTAAAACACATTGAAATAGCTACATGCCATTTTAGCGAATTTGACTTTATACATGAATTAACAAAATCTTAATTTAGCTAAAATGCCAATAATCTCATTGTGAGAATATACTTTATTCTAAATTAGCGACATCTTGAATTAGCAAAATTACAGGTTAGCTAAATTAGCTAAAATGACATGCTAGCTAAAAAGACGTGTGTCACAGTATTCTCTGCCAGGTTGTACAGTGATAAAACTAAATTGTAAAAGGATAATAGATTACTTATTATGTTACCATGGTAATAAATAATGCTATATACTAAATCATGTTGTGTAATTCAAATTTATGTTCAATAATGTCTGCTATAAACAGTAGATGCATGACGAACTCATTACCATGATTGGAATATATTATTTGTATTGGTTGCAGTCATTTGCTGTTTGCTGCCCTCTGTGGTGTTAGTATGGTGATCTATCTGTAATACTGCCCTCAATGTCCACTCTTCTATGAACTCTCATTTATTCTTTTCTGCTTTTTTTTCTGTTCTCTGTTTTTTTCTGTGTTCAAATGTTGACATTTTGTTGATATTATTTTAACATAGTCATGACTGTAATTTAGTAGAACTGATTATTACGGGTGGTATTTTGCTGCTAAAGCAAAGATGATTCTTTCACTAGTTGCCAATCTCAATTTATTTTTACTTGGCTGCAAAAAATCATTTTTAACAAGTAATTTTTTTTTCGCTATTTAAAGATACATTTGAAACAATGAGTTATTCTACAAAAATGTACAGAAATGTAAATAAGACATCAGAAAAAATGTATTGCATAATATAAACAAAATGTTGGTGCAACATTTCACATATTTTATTATGTGTTGATTATTCTTCAATTTTGAACCAAATAGAGACACAATTTAAAATTGTCTAATAGGACTTTTTTTTTATTTTATGAAAGGTGTCAATAGTTGACATTGGTTTCATATTTTACTCCTAACGAAAGCCCTGATTTGGTTTTAATTATTCAACCACATGTACCCACTCCATAGACATTTCTGTTTTCAAACTGAGACTACTAAAGGACACTTGCAATTTTAAAATGTGTATAAACGGAAATTACATTGTTTTAAGAAGACTTATTTGATTCATTTCTAGGACTCACTGTATCAGATTATGGCCAATCAAGTTGATGGATTCAAATCTTTTGTTGGGATTCCAAATATTGAAAAATACAACTCCGTACTCTTTGGAGGTGAGTATAACAAAGTATTTAAAATAAGTGGCAACATTCCGTTGAATCTCAACTGTTTTAGCTTCTCATTTTATTTTTAGTTGAAATTGTATTCATCACCATTTTTGTAATAGTATGGATTCACTCAAATTTGTATTTTATATTTTCTAGAATATTTGACAATATTTACTTACCAAGTTGGTTGGTCTTTAATTACTAGAAATGATTATGTAATTTTGGTTTTCTAGGTATAATTTCATCGTTATTCTCGTTTCTACAATTTGTGGTGAGTCCCGTACTTGGTGCTGCATCTGATGTTCATGGTAGAAGGCCCCTTATGTTAGCATCGATGGTAAGTAGTACTATCCAGATGACTGGTAATTAATGTAAATATTTAATGTCATGACTTTGCTAGAGAGACTGTGATAGCATCAACCAATGAACTGGTACATTAAAATACATAATACTCTTTGAGAATATTTTATTGGGCTGCCAAGAACAAATGCGATTTAAAAATTTATCTATAAACTAACTTTGTTTTTTAATTTTCAGATTGGTATAGCTATATCTTACTGTATTTGGGCAGTGTCACATAATTTTACAGTGTTCCTTATAGCTAGGATAATTGGTGGTCTCAGTAAAGCTAACGTGAACCTGAGTACAGCCATTATTGCCGATGTATCTACCGTTAAAACAAGAGGGAAAGGAATGGTATGTAAGAAGAAAAAAAAAAGCCTGTCTGATTTTCTGTTTTCGTGCTCTATACTAATATTTACTATTAAGTGCAATTAATTTCATCATCATGAATATATTAACAATTAAACCATTTTTGAGATCTCGCGTTATGCGGGAAATCAACGTAAAAACAAAGGTTATAACATCGTAGTGGTGTCTAAACATCGCAAGAGATTTGATAAACGTATAAATATTTTTAAAGTAATTCCACTCTTAATAATAATGTGCTATACACAGTTGATGGTCAATTTTAATTCATATTAAATCCATATTCCCAATCGTAGTGATCGGCATTTTGACATTGACTTATAAAAATCAAATTCGCATCCAAAATCAAATAATTTTTTGTTGTTGATATTTGGGGTGCGCCTTTAACAAATCACATAAAAAACTTTCAATATGTCAATCATCCCTCATGTTTATATTTTTTTTTCAGGCGCTGATTGGTGTGGCGTTTTCACTAGGATTTACATTTGGGCCTATGATTGGTGCTTATTTTTCCAAAATTTCCACTTTTAAAGCAGGAGAGTTTTACATTGCGCCGGCGCTGTTTGCGTTAAGTCTGGCAGTACTGGACATTGTTTTTATATATTTCTTCATGAAAGAAACCCTGCCATTGGAGAAAAGAGTATGTATGAACAGTTTTTATGTTGACTCCGCCATGTGGTTTTACAATATAGTCTTATTTTAGTGATTCAAAAACACGTCATGCAATTTTTGGTTTATATGTGATTCTATTGCAGATGTGCTTGAAATAGAACAAATACTGTAGATCACTGATCAGAGTTATATTTTACGTATAGTGCAGCAGTAAAAATTATTACATGTTTTATGATTTTGAGTTAACAAGAAACTGAATTACTATTGTATACCTTCAATAACTTTACATTTTTATGTTTTTGTTGCAGGCTAAGTCGTTCAGTAGTAGCTCTCGGGATGCTTTCAACCTCATCAGTCCTTTTGCATTATTCCAATTTTCTGC